GCCAGGTCCTTGAGTCACACGAGCAGCGAGCTTCGTGTGCCCAAAAAGAGGGAGCAAAAAGTGAAGACCAAAGAACCTTCCAAGGTGGTTAGGATCGATCTGATCCATTGGTTCCCTGATCCAGGGAGGGTTTCTGGATTCAGTTTTTTCTATTGAGCCATACCAGCCATACGAGTCGAAGATTGGGAGGAAGTCTCGTGGGATTGGGGGGAAGTCGTCAGACGGGGGTGGGGAGACAGTTCCTCATAGGTGGCCTTGTTTTAAGGAGTGCTCTAAGGAGATTCCAACAAGAATGTTTGCTGCAATATGCTGCAATTGTTCGGTCTTTCAAAAAGAAATATCTAACCCTAGAAGTCCAAAGACTATATTTTGACCGGCTGAAGTAAAGGAAGTTCCCTTTCAGTTCCCCTAAAGACCATTCTTTTATTAGTCTTTGACTCCCAGGGGATCTATGGACTCTATAGATAGTACAAACACTCTCCTGAACTCTTCCTTGGACCCTGTGGTTGCTGGACCCTGCAAATCGCATCAGACCATATACTAAACCATCGCATCTGGCGCTGTTTGGGCCACCCAAGATCCTTCAAGAAGGCTTGTAAAGATGCAGCTTCAGACCAGTCAAGATGGTATCATCTACCTATAGGGCTTCCGGGCAAGGGGTATCCTGTCTGGAGACCTATATAAGTGTGACCTCTTTGGAGTCTCTGTTTGTGACCATTTACAAGCCAAAATCGTGACCTCAAATCCCTGCGATCTCAAGTTAGGCCACAAACTGAAGCTGGTCAGAGGTGGTTTTCGCAACCTGACATCCCCCTTTTCCATCCGCCTTGCAAATGGTTCACCGCAGCAAGGACACCTTCGAGACAAACACGACCACGACCACGACCGACGTGTGTGTTCTCCACGGCCGAGGGGCGGATGGTAGGACACCACATGCAAGGAACAAGGCCTCCTGAGCGTCAAACGTCGTCGGTTTCGTCGTTGGACCGGTTTCGTCGGACTGGGGAAGGTCGGACCTCCGCGACGGCCGGACCCGAGACGTGCGAAGAAACGACGAAGAGAAGAAGCAACCGCCACGTTTTGGACCAGGCGTTTCCCCCAGTTTCTTTTTGCTGGTTTCAGTGTCTACGAGTAGCGACCCACTGGTCCAATTCTGCACACGTCGTGTTCCACTGGTCCATTTCTGCAAAGTGCCCTGGTGCCTTCCCCATTTGCAACAAATAGTTCACCTGGTTTTGTCATGCAACAGCTCGCTTCTAAAGGCAGGTCGTGGAATATCACTGAATCCCAGACACGACTAATGGGACTGGCATATGCTCCATACATTGACCCCGACTTCAACCACCACCCCTGGCCTTTTCTGGGTCGTCGCCAGTCCCAGTCGTGTTTGGGAATTGGACCATCCGGGAAAACGCGACCTGCTCGTCCCAACTCCGCCAAGCTGCCACTTGATCCACTGAGAAGACCTCTAAGGGGTGCAGGTGCGCCTCCAACGCCTCCAACGCCGCCTGTTCCGCTCCGAACGGATGTTCGACCCTCAGGAGAGGCTGGTGTTTCCATGAACTGGACCACATTGGACAAGTATTTAATGCCCATAAGCTCAGAAAACATATCCGGATCTCCTAGTTGCCCGATCTGCCTGAAAGTGCGATACTGCGATGCTGTTCAGAAAACCAAACCCGAAAGAGATCCCCAGGATGGGGTCAAGGCCCTCCTGAGGATGGTCTTGGAGGTGAAAGTACTTCCAGCTAGATAAAGTTATTTGGAACTATAAGGGACATCCTCTGATCCTGGACCCTTAGAGATCATACTGTAGCAACCACCCCCGCCTTCTTCCTTTCATGACCCTGGAAATGCTTCAGTTGAAGTCAGTTGAACACCACTCTCAAGCACTCTCAAGGATGATTCACCTTCATCTTCACCCCTCCATCTTCACCCCTCCAACTTCTGAGGTGAGAAATCACCCAGCCCACCACGTCCCCGTTCTCCCCGTGAACCGGCCGTGTGTGATCGCTACAACCCCCGGGACTCCCGTGCCGCCCGTCGTCCCCGTTCCCGTGCCCCGACGTCCCCAACCTCGAGGGATCCAAAGCGGGCGACAAGGCGTGCTCGAAGCTGCAGCAAGCTTTGGCATGGCTGGAGGAAGTGCGTGGCGCGCAAGAAGTCTGCGGAGGACAAGGTCTCCTAGCTGCGCGGACCAGTGGAGGGGGCGCGTAGAGGGGCAGATGGGCATTCGGGTGAGTGGATCTGGGTGGTGAAGGTGTCGAGACATGAAACACGGTCTATATACCGTGTAAATCCTTTAGGTGCTGTAGACCTATGTCAACCTCTGGCTCTTTCGGGCACAACCTAAAGGGGCGCGACCTATAGCTGGGGTCGGTCGCTTAGTAAAAGCGGGCATGGTGGGCCAGGGCTCCAGCTTTTGACCATGTCATAGTCCATCTTCTTCGGTCGGTTCGCGTTCGACTGAATGTCTTCTGTGTCGTTGATGTTGAGAGCTCAGTCAGATGTGAAGAAAGTGTCAGAAACAAAGCCACTAGCCCACTGAAAACTAACATAGACCCTGAAAACCACTAGTTTGTAGAGGAAAATTGTCTTTGAGGGTACCATTCTCAGGGTCCATGTCGAAGTGTAGCCCAGGGTTTTCCAAAAGACAAGATGTTGGCTCCAGAGTGGGGCACTTCGGAAAAAGGCAGATCCGCATGTTCCAGAAGTCCTTCCCTGGGGACCCAAGTAACGAAGAAGGTACCTGGACCGTCGAAACCTACAGCGTCTCCAATCACCTGAGAAGGCACGACTGGATCCCTAGGGCTTGATACCTTCGATCCCAAGGTTGACACATCAACCATCGGAGCACCTGCCATCTATCTATCGCTGGCGTTCACCGCTCCGCATTTCCGGTGAACGCAGGTCCCGGCCGAGACAGGCCGAGACATTCTTCACCCCCGCAAAAAGAGTGGTGCTGGAAAGAGCCTCCTGAAGAGGTATTTAGGGCAGGAGCCAACGTAGCGTCCGATCGCTCCTAGTAAGGCCATTCTATGCCATTCTTCACCCGAACTGAGTGGTGCTAGAAAAGACCATCTGCTTCGGCTCACGTTGCACTTGTTCCATGGTGCTGCCATGGAGAAATGCATGGTCCACCATCACCTGAGAGGCTACTCCACCGCCGGGCTTTTCGCTGCTTGTGCCAAAACCAATCACCGGGTTCTTCAGAGTGAACCCAACTTGATCTGATAAAATTGGTCACTTCTAAGGCCCAAAGGTCACCTCCACGACCTCGCGTCACGACTCCTAAGGACGGCTGGCCACAGGCGCCAGCTTGAACCGCCTCCGTTCAACCAACTCGTCCGAAGCACCCGATCCGTCGCACGACTCGGCGTCGCGCGAGTCGTCCTTGCCCTCCACGGACAGGAGCACCTCGACACGCGGTGCACATGCAGCTTTGTTCGCATGATCACGCGAGAGGTGTCGACTCGCGTGTCACCGCGTGTCGACTCGCAGCGCAATGACCTCCACCCGCGCGTGGCGTTTTGCGGTGCGGATCGGCCGGTCTTTTCAACCCGTGCCATGGGAGTTGCTACGACGTGGTGGATCATGGCACTTTCTGGCGGTGAAAGTTAGAGGTTGGTTTGATACACATCTTCGAGATTGTTAGACTTACACTGAAGATTCAGGATGTTAGATGAGATTGTTGCGATGCCAAAACCAAACACCTCCTTTAGTGATCAAATACAAACAACTCCATCTCTCAAGAAATCCGGAAAGGATTTTCTCGCAACGTCCAACAGATTGGACAGGGAAGTGTGTGGCAGTGTGTCCCAAAACCCACGACCGACGGGGACTGGAATCTGTACATTGAACAATGATACTATACAGATTGGGGTGGTTTTAGGGTGTTTTAAGGCTCAATGTTTGAGGTATTATATCGCATTACTGCTGTACGAGTGTTGGGCTTTGTTCAATCATCAGATCTAATCGAGAATTTGAGTATAGTTCCAGGCAAGCCACTGTGCCACCCAAACTGCTGAACCCTTGATGTACTCGCCAGGGACAACAGGACTTTTTTGTCTGACAATGCTGACGAGTCGAAGTGCAACACTCTGAATCAATCCGTACCAAACCACAGAAAAGCGCTGCACTGCGTTTCACGTGCCTGCGTCATGCCGTCCACCTGCCATAGCGGCACCTCTTTCTCTGTGGCGGAGGCTAAGGCCTCTTGTAGATTGACTGCCTCACGACGTCCCAGACGCTCCGTGAGTTCACAGCCCGACGTCGGGCCCGAACCAAATCCGATGGATTGGTGAGGGTCGGTCCAGACCCCTGACCCGGTCCCGAGGAGGAAGCTCCGACCCCAAGATTCGGGGCCGAGCTCGTTCGGGTCGCTTCGGGGTGAAAACATCGGAGGATGGAAATGTTGGAGACACTTCACAGTGAGCTCACTGGGTGGGAATCACTTCACAGTGAGCTCACAGTTCTCATTTCACAGTGAGCTCTCCCTCTGGAGGGAAAGGAATGAACGGCTGAGAACTTCACAGCCCAGCGATGAATCCGGCATAAAGTTGTCCGGTCCAAACACCTTCTTAGAATGTGCTTGGAATCCTTTTTCGGGAAGTATGGAAAGGGTGTGGTTTTTCCTGTCCTGACCCCTGCGATGTTCCGTCTGGTTCAAGGATTGTCCGGGTAATTGAGCCACATGTTGATGATCTTGCGCATTGACAAACACCTTTCCTGGTGTCTGGATATACCTGGATGTACCTCATGTGAGTCTGCCGATTTGGATTTATCAATCACTATATAGGATATTCAGCCCACTGCCCAATCAAATTTCATTTACATGTTAGGGAGATGCTGAAAGTCTGTGGTCACCTGACTTTCATGTCCAAGACGCATAAAGGATTATCAGAACAGATCAGAACAAGTCATAAGATATGTCCTCGTTCGCTCTGACGGTCGCGCACTTTCGGTCGCCGGAGCGAACCCTTTTCTCGGGTGAGTGAAGGCCTTCCTTTTCCGGGCGAACCCTTCCGCACGAGATCCGAAGAACAAAGCGAATTCTTCGTTCTGGATGCGCATGCGTATATTATGCCCTATAGGAATCCGTTGTCGTACCGAGTCCCCTCAGGTTCGGTACGAAAACGGCCCCGACGTTTTGGCACCTACAGTGCCGAACACATCACCGTACCTGAGAGTGTACGACTGGATCCTCAGGGGTAGTGGGGCGGTATTCAATCCGCCAGGGAATCCAAATGTGCATTCTTTTTGTTCAAACACGTTCGTACAAAAAATCCGTGCATCCGGCCTTTTTTGTCAAATATTGGACAAATTTTCTGGAATTCCTCCGAATATTGGGTTTGATTGGGTTTCAATATAATTGTTTGGGTTTTTGTCGATAAAATGTTGATGGGTTTCATATGGGTACGCTTTTGTACGGTATTGTTTTTTGTCCATACGGCTGAATACGCTAATTCGTTAATCAAAATGTCCATACGATAAATTCTGTCCAAACAAAAAAGAAGTGTTCATACGCCTTTCCAGGCGGTTCACTACATTTGCACATCTGAACTCATATCCTCGAGACTTCCAGTACGCAATGAGAAGTCCAAGCCACCGTGAGTGTCTTTTCCTCACCCGCCAGATACCTCAGACCGCATCGATCGGGTTCATTACTCGGTCTGGACATAGTGAGTCCAGGCTTCCGACCAAAACACCGCAAGGTTTTCTCATGGTTCACACACCCCCTAGGGATCCAAGTACCTTCTCAGAAGGCACCTGGACCCTCCAAACCCACTCCAAACACCTTCTGAGAAGGTACTTGGATCCCTAGGGACCACGAAGCAGTTCACTTCCTTCGGGCGAATGGCTATCCTCCGATGATCGAAGACGCCGAAGACGCCGAAGACGACCGCAGGATATCCAGCGAGTTCCGAGTTCGATCTTGTCACATCTTCTCAGCTACCAGGACCGACACCGTTCGAGGTGTCTACAAATAGCCTCTTAGAGGTTAAGTGGTGTCCAAAAACCACCGGGCGAACGCAAGGTGCTGGTAGTCTAGTTGCTCATGTTTCCCAAACCAGGTGACCTAAATGGTGACCTCTTTGGATTATTATCTAAAACCCTAAGTGGCCAGCTTACACGCCAAATTAAGTTTCCTGCAGTGTTTTTATATCATTTTATATCTACTCCTCAAACGGTGCGGATGTCAACGATGAGAGACTTCTCGACCTTAAGTCAAGCCAAGTTGGGCTGATTCGCTGAAGGATGACTCATCACATCTCAAAACCAGCACTGTAGTTTCAGTATAGTCTTGTTCCTTCCCAATTGCCCTGGTGAAAAATCTCAGATCAATGACCCATCGACGCCGACCCGCGAAAAACCCACGCTGAAACGCCCAGAAACTCAAAAGCCCGAGTCCATCGGCCCTTGAAGGACTTTTGCAAGGCCATGCCTAGTGCACGAGCCACAAGGAGGTCCTTCCCTAATTAAGGCGTTCCAGTGAATCAAAATGAAACATGTATTTACATGTGAGTTGTCTGGACAAACAAGAAAAACAGTTTCTGGGTGGTTGCTTCACCAAACACGTGTGTTCACTGTCGTCTAGTCGTAAGATTGTTACATTGTTCTATATATATAGCTATACTAAGTTGCACTGACCAAATCTTGAGTGTGAAGTGTGAAGTGGGTTTTTGATTGTGTTGAATTCATTTCATGTGTGACATCGTGCCGTTTCAATGGTACTGTCTCGACATGTGTGCGTTAGTCTACTTCCCTTTACGATCAACTCCTCTGACTTGAGAACATGAGTTTCACACAAGAGACACTGCAGGAGTTTGGGTGAGAAAGAGTAACCGTCTGCCGTCCGCATTAAGGACTTGGTGACATGGTTGGCCCACAAGTCTAGAGCAATCTGCATCGGGTACGCACATCCGATTTTTGGTGAGCCGCCTTAGATAATTCTGGTGCGTTCCCTCTGTTGGTCCTGCAGGAACTGTTCACACAATGTAGAGGGGGACACCTGGTTGCTCCCTGCTCTCAACCGGAAAACATGCCCCAAACACACACTTGAGACAAAAAAATCCAAGCACTAACCCTTTATTTCTTACTGCAGTTTAGACCTTGGCTGATTGAACAGAATGGTGAAGCGTCAGAAGAACAGAATTGATTGCACATTGGTGAAACAATCTGAAACATTAACATTGTGCAGGTACGTCGGTGAGCGTCCAAACCGATATCAGTGTTCAATGCAAGTTGGGCTGGTACTTGCATGATCAACCAGCCCCCCTGCTGACTGCACTGGAATTGGGTAAAAAAATAGGTAAAGTAGGGTAAAGTATGGTAAAGTAGTATTGTTGTGTAGAGTCCCTGCAAACGCCACACACACACCGTGTTTTGTCCGCAGCCAGACGCCTCTGGACGTGAGACGAGCCAAGGCACAGGACTGTTGCAGGGCTTCCAGGGCCATAGAGAACTGCAGAGTGTCCTTGTCGAAGAGTTGCATGCGAGCACGCCAGGCCCTGAGAAGCCGAAATCAGCCAGTTTGGGTCTTTGCGTTGGAAGACCGACGATCGGAAACAGTGGCCCAAAAACATATACAATCCCCATTGCTACCGAGAATAGAGGTCTACCCATCTTATGACATAGTTGATCTGAAATTATTTTCAGCTCATTTAGCTGTTTAACACGTTTAAAACATCAGTTATCATCTATGTAATCATGATTTCAAGAAAGTGACCGTGACGGAAATGTAGACATGAACATACATTCAAACATATATTTCTAAAATAACACGTATTTTGGGTGTATTTTGTTTGTGTTCTGTGGCGGCAAACAATTGCGAAAACTCTTTGTGGTTTCACGCTTGCTTGCTGGGAAATTCCCTCTGCGCGTGTTCCTCATGGAGTTGGTGATCCCGCTACAAGCGAACGGCGCAGACCTGCATTCGTTTTGGTTGCCGTGGCTTCAGAATCAGGAAGCAGATTGCCTGACGAATCAAAGCATCACATGTTTCTGCCCTGAGAAGAGAATCCACTCCGATGTAGGTGGGTTCAAAGGTTTTGTCTTCGGGGGTGCCCGCTGCTGATTGAGAGCTATATAGGACAACATCAAGATGAGCAACGGTCAGCAAACCCATCGCTCAAGGGTGCCCAAGCAAGAGACCCTTGCACAGCCATGCAAGTGTGGTTAAGGCTGACTTGGGAAGTTTTTTGAAGTCCCTGGGGCACCATTGCACTTGCTTGTAGAGTTGTGTGGAGGATAAGGGGGTTTCAAGCTGGCTGTCTGTGCGATGGCTGCCTGTTTTGCAGTTTCTTCCAAGGGGCTGAGTGGTTGGTGCAAATTGGCCTCCCCCCAGAGTCATTGCCAGTAAGCCCTTCTCTCTCGTGCCCTGTCGACTACAGGGAGATGTTGAAAGGGTCTCAAGCCTGAGCTCTGTTTTCGTCAGGAATGCGTGGCCCATCCGGCCAGAGCTAGTGAACCACTCTTGCATAGCCTCCTGTTTCTGTTGCCTGACCTTGTGGATATGTGCCTGGTGAATCTTCTCAATTTGGTGCTGTTTGCTTGATCTGTTGGTAGAGCTGGGGTAGCATTTGAACGGCGTAGGCCAAACCAAGCTGGGACGTGCTGTCTCTGCAGTCTTCCGTCCAATGCTTGGCCATTTCCTGGACCTGCTTGTGATTTTGAGGAGCTTCTGAGGTTGGCTCGATGCTGCGCTTTGGCTGGGGTGGGGCTGGCCCTGCGAGCTGGATGAAATCTTGGATCAGTCGATTCTAGATGCCCCAGTAGGCCAACGCAGGTTTGGCCCAAATGGTGTCCTTGACCATTGTGGGAACTTTTGGCTCTAGGCGGATATTGTAATCCACCAGCCAGGAGGCGGCTGAGGCAGGTCTCTGCTTGCCAGCTCCACTTTACTAGCTCGGTAGTGAGCTTTGCGCTGTGTGCTGCGACAGATGCTGCAGGTTTGTGAACATGTTTAGCTGCTGCTCTAAATTGCTGCTAACAGCGCCAAATGCCCACCAGCTGTTGCCATCACGCCTGTCACCTCTGCCTGTTGCCGTCAATGTAGCTGGATCTGGTACTGTGACGGGAGCATTGCCCTGCAGTATCATTGTTTCATCTGCGTGAAACTTAACTGGGATCACATGCGCTTCTGCAATCTCGGTGTGAACCTATCTGCAGCATGCGCAGGTAGGGCTTCGCTCCTTTAGGGTTTCTTTTGCTTCTTTAGGATGTCTTTGGGTTGGACTTAGGCCTTCATGCGAGGGACTTAGGGTTTCACTTCTTCTTTAGGGTCTCTTTTGGTTTGGCCTAGGGCTTTGCAGCGTTAGGATGTCTTAGGGTTTCACTTAGGGCTTCACGTCTTTAGGGTCTCTTTTGGTTTTGCTTAGGGCTTCGCTCCTGTAGGGTCTCTGGGTTTGGCTTCGGGCTTTGCTCCCAGAAATTAGTCCCCAGAAACCACTTCCCAGAAACCGGTTCCCAGAAACCACCCCCCAGAAACGTCCCCAGAAACCACTTCCCAAAAACCACTCCCCCAGAAACCACTTCCCAGAAAGCACTCGCCAGAAACCACTTCCCAGAAACCACTTCCCAGAAACCAGTCCCCAGAAACCACTCCCCAG